CGTGGGATTCCCTGGACTCCAGCCCAAATACTACAGCCTGATGGCAGCGTTTTTGCTCTGCATCTACATCGCTGTAATCACCGGAAACTCCCTCATTGTGGTCCTGTTTGTGATTGAGCGCAGCCTCCAAAAGCCCATGTACATTATCATGCTGAGTTTATCCTTGTCTGATATTGGTTTTTGCACAGTTGCTCTGCCAAAAGTCATTTCTCGCTATTGGTTTAATGATGGTTATATTGGCTTCTACGTTTGTCTGTTTCAAAGGCAGCTGATTCACTATTTTGGTACCCTGAACTCTCTTATTATGATGATCATGGCACTAGATCGGTACTTGGCGATCTGTTACCCGCTAAGATACCCTGTTTTAATGACTAACCGCACTATGAGGCTTCTAATAGGGTTTTCCTGGGTTACTGCGATGATTGCTCCAACCATTAGCTTAATGCAGACAATGAAGCTCCCATTCTGTGGGCCAAACACGATCATTCATTGCTTCTGTGATTCTCTATCTATGAACCAGCTGGCCTGTGCTGATGCCACCCTCACAAATCTCATTTCATATGCTGTAGCAATGTTTGTGCTTCTTGTGCCATTGTCTTTCATCATATTTTCCTATTTAAGTATCCTGGTGTCTGTACTTCGAATTGCAAACACACAGGGCCGAATGAAAGCCTTTTCTACCTGTGCAACACAGCTGACTATCATTGCCATCTATTATGTGCCCCGTTTTGTGGTTTACACCACTTCTAACATCCCAAACACTCAGATGAACAGCAGTCCATGATTATTCATTAAATATTTCCGATTTTAAAAATTAATTTGTCACACTGCCAGGAAAATGTATCATTTGTATCATTTATTACATTTTAATTAGAAATAAATCATAAATCCCCTCATGTCCACCATTGATTAATATTACGGAAAGCTTTAAAATGACAGGAATTAATCAATATTGTTATTATTTTGGTGACGTGGGCAGAGCATGTAAATTTTCCAGTATGCACTGCAGGATTTTTACTTTTTGTTTTGTTCAGATTGCTATTAATATGATGTTATTAAGTTTATTTGGTTAATTAGTTTGAGAAACACGTGCAGGAAGTTGTTTTGTGTAGAAGGCCGGGATGTGTGCTCTTGAGGTTCCCATGGTTACCGTGGTTTATCGTTAGACATTCAAATACCTTATTAGATACATGTTTTATATGAATTATAAATCGTGCGTCTTGTATTTTTTCTGGCATCAAATTAAAATAAAGTCCTTAAAAAGTGTTTCAAATGAGACATAAACTTGTTTTCCACCAGGTGTTGCTTGGTACTCGCCGCTTAAGTCAAATCTTCATTATATTTAATTTTTCTTATGTTAATTAATTTATGCACAAAATTAAAATGAACAATATCAACAATAATAAAACCTAATAAATAAATATAAAACATATCAACAGTTTGTGGCCAAATCTAAAGAATCATTTAATGACAGACTTCAAGCATGGTGGTCTGACCTGCAGGCTGATATAACTGAGGAAGAGTGGCAAATAGCATGTTTAAAAGCCCAAACTCAGACAATGAGTACCCATTTGAGACTGCTTCAGTATAAATGGTTGAGTAGACAATTTATCACTCCAGTTAAGTTACATCACTTCAACCCGAATATTCCTGATATATGCTACAAATGTAAACAAGAGAAGGGAACTTTATTCCATAAATGTTTTTGGGTTAAAATAGTAAATATTATAAGTCAAATCATTGGTAAAATAATTTCTCTTGATCCCAGGTTGTGTATATTACATATTTGTCCTCTGAACTTTAAAATGATCAAACATGAAAGATTGTTGTTAATTCTTTGTTTGCTGGAAGCTAAACGTGTAATTGCATATTCTTGGAAAAAAGAAGAAAGTCCTGGCGTGTCTCAATGGATAAAGGGGATGACCTCATGCCTTGCCTTAGAAAAGATTACCTATTTTTTTTAAAACAAACTTCATGTATTTTGGTCCATCTGGAAAGTGTTCCATGACTTTTTGGAGAGTCTAGATGGTGACTCTTTTGTGGAATTGATGGACATTGAAAGTATATAGACAAGTATGTTATCGCTGTTTTGTTTTTTTATGTTATTTTTTAGCTTAATGCAGACAATGAAGCTCCCATTCTGTGGGCCAAACACGATCATTCATTGCTTCTGTGATTCTCTATCTATGAACCAGCTGGCCTGTGCTGATGCCACCCTCACAAATCTCATTTCATATGCTGTAGCAATGTTTGTGCTTCTTGTGCCATTGTCTTTCATCATATTTTCCTATTTAAGTATCCTGGTGTCTGTACTTCGAATTGCAAACACACAGGGCCGAATGAAAGCCTTTTCTACCTGTGCAACACAGCTGACTATCATTGCCATCTATTATGTGCCCCGTTTTGTGGTTTACACCACTTCTAACATCCCAAACGCGCAGATGAACAGCAGTCAGAAGATCGCCCTGGTCATGTTCTACAGTCTGCTTCCACCTGTAGTGAACCCCTTCATCTACTGCATCAGGATCAAAGAAATCAGACAGTTCTTTATCAAATGGTGTGTCCACAGAAACAGGATCGTCAGTAGGTCATTAACTATTTCTAAATGAGATGACCTGACTGTTAGATGTTCTTATGCACCTTATCACATGAAACTGACATGTTATTGTTATGCAGTTATGTGCTGTTGTTATGCATTTACAATATTTGTTATTATTATAGTCATTTTCTTTTGCATAATAATAATATTATGTATTATAAAAAATGTGGAAGGCCATTTATTACTCACTGAACGGATCAATAGGCAACATATGCAGTCAATTACAGTGGGTGATTAGACTTCAATGTTAATTTAAAAATGCTAAGAAGAATAAAACATATATATGGAAAGTTGACATGTCCTGTGGTTTGACATGCTATACTCCATGTACAGTAAAACCATTTTTTAAATTAATATTGTGCATGATTATTAAAAGACTACATTAAATATTTCCGATTTTAAAAATTAATTTGTCACACTGCCAGGAAAATGTATCATTTATAGCATATTATACATTTTAATTAGAAATAAATCATAAATCCCCTCATGTCCACCATTGATTAATATTACGGAAAGCTTTAAAATGACAGGAATTAATCAATATTGTTATTATTTTGGTGACGTGGGCAGAGCATGTAAATTTTCCAGTATGCACTGCAGGATTTTTACTTTTTGTTTTGTTCAGATTGCTATTAATATGATGTTATTAAGTTTATTTGGTTAATTAGTTTGAGAAACACGTGCAGGAAGTTGTTTTGTGTAGAAGGCCGGGATGTGTGCTCTTGAGGTTCCCATGGTTACCGTGGTTTATCGTTAGACATTCAAATACCTTATTAGATACATGTTTTATATGAATTATAAATCGTGCGTCTTGTATTTTTTCTGGCATCAAATTAAAATAAAGTCCTTAAAAAGTGTTTCAAATGAGACATAAACTTGTTTTCCACCAGGTGTTGCTTGGTACTCGCCGCTTAAGTCAAATCTTCATTATATTTAATTTTTCTTATGTTAATTAATTTATGCACAAAATTAAAATGAACAATATCAACAATAATAAAACCTAATAAATAAATATAAAACATATCAACAGTTTGTGGCCAAATCTAAAGAATCATTTAATGACAGACTTCAAGCATGGTGGTCTGACCTGCAGGCTGATATAACTGAGGAAGAGTGGCAAATAGCATGTTTAAAAGCCCAAACTCAGACAATGAGTACCCATTTGAGACTGCTTCAGTATAAATGGTTGAGTAGACAATTTATCACTCCAGTTAAGTTACATCACTTCAACCCGAATATTCCTGATATATGCTACAAATGTAAACAAGAGAAGGGAACTTTATTCCATAAATGTTTTTGGGTTAAAATAGTAAATATTATAAGTCAAATCATTGGTAAAATAATTTCTCTTGATCCCAGGTTGTGTATATTACATATTTGTCCTCTGAACTTTAAAATGACCAAACATGAAAGATTGTTGTTAATTCTTTGTTTGCTGGAAGCTAAACATGTAATTGCATGTTCTTGGAAAAAAGAAGAAAGTCCTGGCGTGTCTCAATGGATAAAGGGGATGCCCTCATGCCTTGCCTTAGAAAAAATTACCTATTTTTTGAAAAACAAAATGTATTTTGGTCCATCTGGAAAGTGTTCTGACTTTTTGGAGAGTCTAGATGGTGACTCTTTTGTGGAATTGATGTTGTTGAGTTCATGTATTATTATATTTTTTTATATATTTTTTTTTTTTATTTAGTTATAATGAAAAATGTAACTGTTGTCTTAACCTGTATGACAATCTTTGAAAATAAAATTGTTGTTCAAAAAAAAAAATATATGCACACACTGTAGTATGTTAGTCACATAAAAATATATATATATATTAGACGTGTGTAATTATAAATTTACCCACAAGGTGGCACAAAGAGATCACAATAAGAGATATTTAACTCTTATGGCAAGTTTTTGGAAAGGCCTCCTTGGAAAGAGGCTAACATTGATGACTAGTAGTAAAGTACCTTTTGGTAAACACCTTTTAGTAATAAATACACTATTTAATCACTTTTTAATTAAGTCTCTTATGTTCATCTAAGCTGCATATTATTTATATGCTGAATTTCTGAAAAATACAGTGAAATTTATACTGAGAAATTAAATATACAGAATTAATACACATTACTTACATGTGTTTTCTCAAGTGTTGTAAGAAGTAAAAACATAAACATAGAATAGAATAATAAAAATACAGAAAAGTGCGAAAAAAATAGTTTTGATTAGATTACATTACCTTATATAAATTTTGCCCAAACTCACTATAAACAATCTGAAGGTGAACACAGCAAGCAACAAGTATTTCACTTCAATATTCTGGATTCTTTATTCAGTTTATAGATGTATTTGCATTTGTAATTTAGAGAATGAGAAGCATTAGTTTATTTACAATCTTTTTAAAAACTTCAGCTCTGTACAGTATGTATTTGAACCCTGATAAGGACCAATATTTTTCAGACCTAGTGCGGTGTTAAAAAAGCAAAAAGCAAAGACCACATAAAAAGAAAAAGGAAGAAAAAAACATATCAAATTATGAACATTTGAAGAAAAAAATAAGAGAACAGTAATTTCTTCAGCCATTAGAGAGGGATTTGCTGCTATTAAAGTACATGAAACTGTCACTGCTCCAAATGCTAATGTGCTAACTGTTTTGAGACTATCATACACTAAACACCAATATATATATCAACAATCTATAGTTATGTTCTCTATAAGATTCATATTAAATATACTCTACACATATGTAACCTTCGAATACAATTCCCATTTGGAAAAATATTAAAAAGGGAGGAGGGGAAAGAAATATTACACCGATTTAGAAACGAAACAGCTCATGTTTATGTGTTGTGCAAACAAATTTTATATCTAACAAGGAAGGGGAAATAGAAACCGAGCCAAACTTCATTTCATAGCTATCTTCTGGCTCCAAAAGCAAGCATTAATTTGCACCACTACACTTAAAAATTAAAGGGATAAATCTTATTACCCTTCCTGAAAGAGAGCAGCTCAGATCTATCTAAAGAGGGCAGGCAACACTGATTGACTGTCAAAACACAGTCGCAAATGTTACCGTTACTCATTACACATATTTTAGACTTTCCACGAGTGAATCCAACCAACTTCTGGAGATCTACCTGCAAAGTCCCGACTGTGCTCAAACACACCTGAACCGGCTAAAATCAAGCACTTCTGGGGTACAGGAACTTGTTAAAGCAGGACACTGGATCTCCAAAACATTAATGGGGCATTTAAAATGCACGGAAATGTATAATAAACATTTCTAAAACATTCATCAGGCACATCAATACTTATTCTCCTGCGCTGAAATCAACAAGACTATGTGTGGAGATTAGCATTTGACGAAAACAGTCCAGGAGGGCGACTGTAGCGGAGGTTAATCCGTCGGTGACGCGAGTGCTATTATTTCAGATGTAGGCGACGGCATGCCTTTCCACCTCCACACCAGATCCGAGCCAAGCCGGGTGAGCGCGTGGCGAGTCGATAAATGTGAAAAGTTCGTCAGACCCTGTGTAAATTTATTTCCCCCCTCACACATCTCCCTCCTGAGAGGAAGAATCAAGCGCCTCGGCTGAGGCAAACGAGTCTCATTTTCCTCACTGAATCATTCATGTAACTATGTGCAATAAAAAACAGAAACGAGGGCCTCCTCCATGTGCAAACTGGCAGAAGGGGAGGTGTGTGTGTGTGTGTGTGTGTCTGAATGAGTTACAGGTCTGTTGGAGTTCATGGATGCACGTGAAGGTGTTAGAAAGGGTGGAAATGTGTGTGTGAAGGTGGGATGTATTTTCTTTTCAGATTTTTTGGCTTAAATATGGTCTATGCAAAGCCAAAATGTTCTCTGATCCGTGTCTCGCCCTCTCTCTCAGGTGATTCTTTCCTTTACAGGTGAAGTTAATCTCTTGTTCTGGTTAGGTGCTCGTGGGAGTCAGGTGTGATTAGTTGTGTTTAAGCAGCATGGGCGAAGGGTGACAGGACACACTCGTTCTGAGGGATGAAGGGATGTATTTACAGGATCACACAACAGTTGTTCTCTCCAGTCTTTTCCCGGTTCCTCTGACCTGAAACAAAAACACAGAAGCTTAATACTATTGCGCAAAAACAAACAATGTTTCTGTTCTGAAACCTACTGCCTATCTAGACAGCATTTTAAGGCATCACAGAAATTCTGTTCTTAAAGAGGTAGGCAACATAATTATGTTTTTTTCTAAGATGCATATTTAATTCTGCATATATTCTCGACTCAGAATTAATCCTTGACAAGCATTCGATATAAAACGGTATTGTTAATACTACTAATAATAATGTTAATAATTAATAATAATATTGTTAATTACTATTTTAGCAAATAATTATGTGCCATGTACTGTATTTTTATGCTTATTCGAGTACTACAGAATTAGCTTAACAAAATCAGTTTTCTGTGCATTTTCGTGTAAAGGAGCATGTAAAACACTCCAAATCGATCACATATGAGGTTCTATTTCAGTGACTTAAAAGGCAGCTACCCATGTAGGCAGCAAACAGCATGGAAGCTCACTAGGGTTTAAAACAGAGCCATGGTCTTCAGTACTGATAAATAAGACAGCAGGACCTAGCAAAGATTCTGTCAAATAGGGGTGTGAACCTACACTGGTCTCACGGTTCGTTTCGATTACGATTATCATGTCATTGATTCAGTTCAATTCGATATCACGATGCATTGACGATGCACTGCTTACCAGGTTGTTCATAAAAGCCGAAATGTGCCCAGATGTTGGCTTTTTAAGTAGTTGGAGCATTTTTAATTACTCACACTCGCATCTCGCCTCCCTCTGCCATTGTATGCTACACAATGACGTCAGAAAATCGGTTATGGTCTATTACTGAACCGACACCGAATTGTCCTTGTCTGTATCGCGATGCATCGTAGAAATGAATAATTTCGACACCCCTACTGTCAAAGCACAAAGTGCTTCAGCATACATAAATAATGATGATATGAAAGACATTTGATTTAAAATAGAAACTCAAACAGAACTGAGAATATTATCTCATACACAAAAGGATTAAAAATGAAAAATATATATTTAAAGCACCTTATAAGTGACAATTCCAGACTTTGCATTTTAATTGTATTGTAATTACTTTATTTTAATGTTAATTTTATTTTATTTTATGTGTGGTTTACTGTTAGTTTATTTATGTTTATTTTGTTTTATTTTACACTGAAATATTATTGTTATTTTAACTAGGGACTGAGTAAAAGTAAGGTTTATATAGGGTAACCCTTAAATAAAATGTAAAAAATAAATAATAATGATAATGATAATAAATTAAATTTAAAAATCCTCTATTTAATTAATGCTCAATATTATCAAAACAGAATTAACCTGAAAATTATTAGAAACCAGTAACTCTCTGTCAGTAACCAGTATGTCCCTCATACTCAAATTAATAACTACAAATACATAGTATACATACATAATTTTTTTCTATGCTGAAACCATAAATCAATTGCGCATCATCTGTCTCAATTTTCATGAAAATGTGCCTTCAGTTCAGTATTTGAATAAAAACATTTTAACCTTACAAAAAGTTAACACCTTTAACATCTGCTAATATAGCAGAATAAACTCAACAAGCATTACATTTATCTTCCGATTTTTTTCACTCAGAACTGTCATGTAACCGGGTCTTTTATATTTTGGTTAAACAAAACTTTAAAATTCTGAAAACTGAAATATTGCTGGAGGGTGAGAATTGTCCACATATAAACTGGTCATTTTTGAACAAAGTGAAGGCTGCAGTGAGGCAGGGAGCATGTGAAAAAGCAAAGGAGGAGTGGACAGAAAAGACAGAGGGCAGAATGGTTACCTTGGGAATTTGGCTCAGGCAGCGTCTCTCTGGCAACTAAATGCATCACTGTGGTTTTTCCGAGAGGCAGTTTTAAAGCTGCAAGACATAAGAAAAAAAAGAGTGTTGGATTGAAAGGACACTAGAGACTAATGCAGCTGTACATCTAAGTCACCAAAGTCACTTTTCAAGGGGATGAAGTCGTAGAACAGAGGACCAGGATGACATGTAAACCCCTGGATGAGAGTGCAGCATTTAAGCCTGTGCCTTATTGAGAGCCGTCACTGACTCTGAGAGCACTGCTGCTGCCTTCTGCCCCACAGACACACTCGGTCTCCATGCCTTGGATCTCTTGAATCAAGAAGGAGTCAGCGTGTATTATCAAAGTAACATTTTTTTGGCAAACCCTGCCTACACTCCTCCATCACGTCATCGGTTGAACAGTTCAGGAATTGGAGCTGGTTGTGAGGTTTCACTTACTTGTAGTTATTCACCCATGGGAAAACTTTGCCCAGACAAAATATATTGACAAAACCCCTGGTTATGAGTGAAAAATATCATAGTTAAACTTTTCATAGGTCACATATATTTAAAAGGCCTCATCAAATTTAAAGAGAATTTAGCACTTAACTAGGATTTATTTGTGTATTATGAGTAAAAACATATTTCTACAGTCTTAAGTCTTAAGACCGACAGAGACAGACAGACAGACAGATAGATAGATAGATAGATAGATAGATAGATAGATAGATAGATAGATAGATAGATGCTTCCTTTTCATGCCCAAAGAATTTCCTCTCCTCCCGGTTTTCTCTCCCTGATGACAGGTCTGCTGGCCAGTGTTTTCCTACATTCATAGTCTGCTCCTTTCCTTCCAAGCTCCATGAAAATCTCGCTTCCGCATTCTGGGAATATTTTTTAGTCAGAAAACTCTATTCACGACTTGAGAATAGTAACATTTAGGTGTATTGGGACTGGGAGCTGAATTTTTGGGTACGTCCTTACAATCAGCTGAACTATGATGGAATCGAACCGCACTGCACCCTGGCTTGAAATAAACCAAGACAAAGCCAAAATAAATATCTGTGCTGTCATAACAGTCCACTGGGACACAGCGGATTTACCTGGCAGAGAAAAAGCCAAGCAACTTCTTATCTGTCAGACCCATGATTCTGGACTGTGAGGAATAGGGCTGGGTATCAAGTTCGATACTTTTTAGGAACCAACCGAATTGCCTCAATACCATCGAGTATCAAAAAATGACTTGTCGTTCGGTACTAAATTTCGATACCTAAGGGGTTAATCTCAGCAATGTCAGTGAGCCAATAAGCATGCAGCATGCTTGAAGTGCCTAAATCAAGTGCTGGTGATTGGCTCTGGTGAGGCATCAAGGAAAAACAAGGCGTTTTAAAATGAAAACAATCCTCGTCCATACTGGCATTTCCACTGTGTTTCAGAAAAGATCTCCATCCACACTACATGACCGAAAACGCATGTTGCATCACTGTTCATGCACACTATAGCATCATGCTCCATAAGACAATTTATAAGATTTATACTACGCTTTTACTCAAAACTCACTTTAAACCATCGAGTGTTTGTAATAACTTCTGATTGTGATCTAATGTGTGTTTTGGCCATATAATGTTGCTGAAATATGCGATTTGTAGCCTTTTATATCAAGCTAATCGCTACACCTGCTTAGCATTTCTCATGTAAACACCCTGTATTGTTATAAAAATGGGCAGAATCTCATGAAAATCACATACAAATTATATACTGTCGTAATCGCGTTTCTTAGCTTCATGTTTCATTCCTGTAAATGTTTTTTCTGGAAGTGCAACACACGTTCGTCGTCAGAGATGGGTTATGAACGTGTAATATGAGTGACAGATGAGCAGCGAATGAGCTTCCTCTGAGTCAGAACAGCGATCGCGGAAGAGAAAACACAGGCAGACAGCACTAGAAACAGCTAATGCTCATCAGTAAATCCGTGGAAAATGAATAGAAATTATGATTCTGTCTGAGCTATGTGTTTTAAAGCAAAAACGCACTAGTGTAAACGTAGCCTAAAAGATGTGGAAACTGAAAATCGATATTGACAATTTTTGAATGATACCCAGCCCTAGTGAGGAATGATTTCCATTTTCCATTTTCCATCGGATGTCCATTTTCCACAAGTTGGTATGATTCTTTAGGGTCTTCATGAAATGTCTTTAACATACTTAAGAAACCTAACTAAATGCAAAAAAAGTGAAAATTTCATCCGATGTCCCCTTTAATAAAAAATCAACAGAAACAGAGCATGTGTGATGTGATATTATTAATGGTAATGAGGAGTGTGGGAGGGCGGCTCACCTCCTAGCGTCACATTGCCGTGTAGGAATCGGCCCTGGTAGATGAGGCGCAGGATGTTTGGACTGCTCACTTGCTCCTCTTCCCAGTCTGTTTAAGACAGAACAACTTAGAGGAATTGTACACAAAATATACAAATTTTGTGATTGGTTACAGTGTCATTTTCAGCAGTGCAATTCATGAGAAACACAAAAGGAGAATTTCCATAAAAATCATGAGAAAGAGACCAAAATTTCAGTCATACACAGAAGACAGATAGTCATCCAGGTTAGGAATGACATGAGGGTGAGGAAATGATGACAGTATTTTACTTTTTGGGTGAACTGTCCCCTAGAAACACACTTTTCTACTAGTCTGCATTTTTCCATGTTACTGCTTCCCAAGTTTTTCACTCTTTTCTCTCTTCATTTATTCGTCTCTTTCTCACTCTTGACTCAATCAGTCACAAGACTCCTGTGAGGAATAGGGCTGGGTATCAAGTTCGATACTTTTTAGGAACCAACCGAATTGCCTCAATACCATCGAGTATCAAAAAATGACTTGTCGTTCGGTACTAAATTTCGATACCTAAGGGGTTAATCTCAGCAATGTCAGTGAGCCAATAAGCATGCAGCATGCTTGAAGTGCCTAAATCAAGTGCTGGTGATTGGCTCTGGTGAGGCATCACGGAAAAACAAGGCGTTTTAAAATGAAAACAATCCTCGTCCATACTGGCATTTCCACTGTGTTTCAGAAAAGATCTCCATCCACACTACATGACCGAAAACGCATGTTGCATCACTGTTCATGCACACTATAGCATCATGCTCCATAAGACAATTTATAAGATTTATACTACGCTTTTACTCAAAACTCACTTTAAACCACCATCGAATGTTTGTAATAACTTCCGATCATGATCTAATGTGTGTTTTGGCTTAGCATTTCTCATGTAAACACCCTGTATTGTTATGAAAATAGGCAAAACCTCATGAAACGCATACAAATCATATAGGTAGTAAGTTTTCCTGGATGTACAGAACTGAATGCGGAAGTGTAATGGATGTTTGTCACAGGAGACAGGGCGAGTTACGAGTTATGAATATGATTGACATATGAGCAGCGAATGAGCTTCCTCTGAGTCAGAACAGCGATCGCGGAAGAGAAAACACAGGCAGACAGCACTAGAAACAGCTAATGCTCATCAGTAAATCCGTGGAAAATGAATAGAAATTATGATTCTGTCTGAGCTATGTGTTTTAAAGCAAAAACGCACTAGTGTAAACGTAGCCTAAAAGATGTGGAAACTGAAAATCGATATTGACAATTTTTGAATGATTTGAATGATAAGTGAGGAATGATTTCCATTTTCCATTTTCCATCGGATGTCCATTTTCCACAAGTTGGTAAAGTTGGTATGGGTCTTCATGAAATGTCTTTAACATACTTAAGAAACCTAACTAAATGCAAAAAAAGTGAAAATTTCATCCGATGTCCCCTTTAATAAAAAATCAACAGAAACAGAGCATGTGTGATGTGATATTATTAATGGTAATGAGGAGTGTGGGAGGGCGGCTCACATCCTAGCGTACAGATAGATAGATAGATAGATAGATAGATAGATAGATAGATGCTTCCTTTTCATGCCCAAAGAATTTCCTCTCCTCCCGGTTTTCTCTCCCTGATGACAGGTCTGCTGGCCAGTGTTTTCCTACATTCATAGTCTGCTCCTTTCCTTCCAAGCTCCATGAAAATCTCGCTTCCGCATTCTGGGAATATTTTTTAGTCAGAAAACTCTATTCACGACTTGAGAATAGTAACATTTAGGTGTATTGGGACTGGGAGCTGAATTTTTGGGTACGTCCTTACAATCAGCTGAACTATGATGGAATCGAACCGCACTGCACCCTGGCTTGAAATAAACCAAGACAAAGCCAAAATAAATATCTGTGCTGTCATAACAGTCCACTGGGACACAGCGGATTTACCTGGCAGAGAAAAAGCCAAGCAACTTCTTATCTGTCAGACCCATGATTCTGGACTGTGAGGAATAGGGCTGGGTATCAAGTTCGATACTTTTTAGGAACCAACCGAATTGCCTCAATACCATCGAGTATCAAAAAATGACTTGTCGTTCGGTACTAAATTTCGATACCTAAGGGGTTAATCTCAGCAATGTCAGTGAGCCAATAAGCATGCAGCATGCTTGAAGTGCCTAAATCAAGTGCTGGTGATTGGCTCTGGTGAGGCATCAAGGAAAAACAAGGCGTTTTAAAATGAAAACAATCCTCGTCCATACTGGCATTTCCACTGTGTTTCAGAAAAGATCTCCATCCACACTACATGACCGAAAACGCATGTTGCATCACTGTTCATGCACACTATAGCATCATGCTCCATAAGACAATTTATAAGATTTATACTACGCTTTTACTCAAAACTCACTTTAAACCATCGAGTGTTTGTAATAACTTCTGATTGTGATCTAATGTGTGTTTTGGCCATATAATGTTGCTGAAATATGCGATTTGTAGCCTTTTATATCAAGCTAATCGCTACACCTGCTTAGCATTTCTCATGTAAACACCCTGTATTGTTATTAAAATAGGCAGAATCCCATGAAAATCACGTACAAATCATATACTGTCGTAATTGAGTGTTTATTAGCTTCATGTTTCATCCGTGGAAATGTTTTCCTGGGTTTCTTATGTACAGAACTGAATGCGGAAGTGTAATGGATGTTTGTCACAGGAGACAGGGCGAGTTATGAATGCTTAATATGATTGACATATGAGCAGCGAATGAGCTTCCTCTGAGTCAGAACAGCGATCGCGGAAGAGAAAACACAGGCAGACAGCACTAGAAACAGCTAATGCTCATCAGTAAATCCGTGGAAAATGAATAGAAATTATGATTCTGTCTGAGCTATGTGTTTTAAAGCAAAAACGCACTAGTGTAAACGTAGCCTAAAAGATGTGGAAACTGAAAATCGATATTGACAATTTTTGAATGATACCCAGCCCTAGTGAGGAATGATTTCCATTTTCCATTTTCCATCGGATGTCCATTTTCCACAAGTTGGTATGATTCTTTAGGGTCTTCATGAAATGTCTTTAACATACTTAAGAAACCTAACTAAATGCAAAAAAAGTGAAAATTTCATCCGATGTCCCCTTTAATAAAAAATCAACAGAAACAGAGCATGTGTGATGTGATATTATTAATGGTAATGAGGAGTGTGGGAGGGCGGCTCACCTCCTAGCGTCACATTGCCGTGTAGGAATCGGCCCTGGTAGATGAGGCGCAGGATGTTTGGACTGCTCACTTGCTCCTCTTCCCAGTCTGTTTAAGACAGAACAACTTAGAGGAATTGTACACAAAATATACAAATTTTGTGATTGGTTACAGTGTCATTTTCAGCAGTGCAATTCATGAGAAACACAAAAGGAGAATTTCCATAAAAATCATGAGAAAGAGACCAAAATTTCAGTCATACACAGAAGACAGATAGTCATCCAGGTTAGGAATGACATGAGGGTGAGGAAATGATGACAGTATTTTACTTTTTGGGTGAACTGTCCCCTAGAAACACACTAGTCTGCACACCTCCATGCTACTGCTTCCTTAGTTTTTCACTCTTTTCTTTCTCTTCATTCATTTATTGATATGACCTACCCATCCCTTTCTCACTCTTGACTCAATCAGTCACAAGACTCGAGTGAGGGTCATTCTGTGTCCTCATAAGGTCAAGCTCCGCTGTGCTTGTATGCTATGAATAAAACTCTGATTCAATCCCGGACCACCCCAATGGAGTTTACGAACAATACAGCAAAGAAGGCCTTTCTTTTTCCTCGCTTTTTCATCAATATTCTTTTTGACATAATTAAAGGCTGATGACTTTCATAAGAGCTATTCAAAGCAAGACATTTAAATAAAATTACTTTAACTTAAATAAACCTTGAATTCCCTTAGAGGACAAATTATGGGGCAAGAAACGGTAATAAATAAAAGTCATTCCTGCAGAAAAAAAACAGCCTAAACAGCCTAATATGGCTTGCTGGTCTCAGACTGGTTTAAGTGGTCAGTCACTAAGAAAACCCTTCTAATGCTAGCAAACCAGACTCATCTAACCAGCTTGACTAGGCTTGGAGTCCATTTTTTTTTCTCAGCGATGATGGTATTACCATGTTTTTTGAACAAGGAACCATGGTATATATTTTTTTTCAACTTTTTTTTGGGGGGG